CTGTTAAATTGTTTTGCAGCTAATGTAATTGCACCTTTCTGCAACTTTTCCTTTTTCTTTTGCTGCATCAAGAACTGGATAATCACAACTCAATCTTGGCTTGAAAACTCTTTTTTTCATCTTACTTTTACAATGGGTCAATATTCAACTGAAATAAAACAATTGATTTCGATCAGTGGATGAAATTAGAAAAATAGAGAGAGAACCAAGATGGCGGCATAGGTTAACGCCGGAGTTTGCTGCTTTGAACAACTACTTCAAAAGTGAAACCAAAAAACGGAAGGGACATCACCCAGAACCACGGGAACGCTGGCTGAGTGGAGGTCCTACAACTAGGAGGAAAGAGAAACGCATACGGACACTCAGAGGAGGCGCAGTGCTGAGGTCAAATTCTGAGGTGCGGAGTGTGCGGAGTGGGCTGGCGGCGGAGGGCGCGGTTGGCGTTTTCAATCGGGAGGGAGTTGCAGACTCTGAGCTCCAGATCCTGGCGAGTCTTTGGGGACCGAGACTCAAGCGGGAAAAGCGGGACTGTCTGGCTTCGGTCGGAGCGAGTGCAGCTTTCTCTCTGAGCTTTGGAGCGGGTGCTGGGACTCAGAGAGGCAGAGCCCCTGGGGACAGGACTGAGAGCCGCCATAACTGCTCTCTCCGGCCCACCCTGTTGATCCTGTGCGACCCGCCCCGCCCAAGCCCTGCACACAGGCATTTGCCGGATAGCCTCAGGCAAAGGCTAGATTAGCACCTCCCTAGAGGACAGAAGTTCTCTCACTGCTGACACAGCTGATTCTCATAGCCACTTGGCCTGGAGGTCAAACCCTCCCTGGAATTAGCTACAACAATCAAGATTTAACTATAAGACTGCGAACAAAGACCACTAGGGGGTGCACCAAGGAAGCATAACAAAATGCGGAGACAAAGAAACAGGACAAAATTGTCAATGGAAGATATAGAGTTCAGAACCACACTTTTAAGGTCTCTCAAGAACTGTTTAGAAGCCGCCGATAAACTTAATGAGATCTACAAGAAAACTAATGAGACCCTAGATCTTATATTAGGGAACCAACTAGAAATTAAGCATACACGGACTGAAATAACGAATATTATACAGACTCCTGACAGCAGACCAGAGGAACGCAAGAATCAAGTCAATGATTTGAAATGCGAGGAAGCAAAAAACACCCAACCGGAAAAGCAAAATGAAAAAAGAATCCAAAAATGCGAGGATAGTGTAAGGAGCCTCTGGGACAGCTTCAAGCGTACCAACATCAGAATTATAGGGGTGCCAGAAGATGAGAGAGAGCAAGATATTGAAAACCTATTTGAAGAAATAATGACAGAAAACTTCCCCCACCTGGTGAAAGAAATGGACTTACAGGTCCAAGAAGCGCGGGGAACCCCAAACAAAAGGAGTCCAAAGAGGACCACACCAAGACACATCATAATTAAAATGCCAAGAGCAAAAGATAAAGAGAGAATCTTAAAAACAGCAAGAGAAAGAAACTCAGTTACCTACAAGGGAATACGCATACGACTGTCAGCTGATTTCTCAACAGAAACTTTGCAGGCCAGAAGGGAGTGGCAAGAAATATTCAAAGTGATGAATACCAAGAACCTACAACCAAGATTACTTTATCCAGCAAAGCTATCATTCAGAATTGAAGGTCAGATAAAGAGCTTCACAGATAAGGAAAAGCTAAAGGAGTTCATCACCACCAAACCAGGATTATATGAAATGCTGAAAGGTATCCTTTAAGAAGAGGAAGAGGAAGAAAAAGGTAAAGATACAAATTATGAACAACAAATATGCATCTATCAACAAGTGAATCTAAGAATCAAGTGAATAAATAATCTGATGAACAGAATGAACTGTTGATTATAATAGAATCAGGGACATAGAAAGGGAATGGACTGACTATTCCTGGGGGGGAAAGGGGTGTGGGAGATGCGGGAAGAGACTGGACAAAAATCGTGCACCTATGGATGAGGACAGTGGGTGGGGAGTGAGGGCGGAGGGTGGGGCGGGAACTGGGAGGAGGGGAGTTATGGGGGGAAAAAAAAAAGAGGAACAAATGTAACAATCTGAACAATAAACATTTAATTAAAAAAAAAAAAGAAAAGAAAAATAGTTATCATTCATAATAATTAGATTAACCTAAAAATTGAAAGATGTGTCAAAACAAATGACAGATGTCATGAAACATTGATTTTGATTGAAGGCTTCGCAATTTTGCGCTACAACATAACTTACAGCTGCATTCGTCAATAATTCCCGTTTAAATATTCACTTGCTACGATTACTATGGGACAGAGGGAGTATCTATATTTATAAATGAGATTGGCCTATAATTTCCCTTTCTTATATCTGCCTCATAAAAGAGTTGGAGATCTCTCTCTCTCTCTCTCTCTCTCTCTCTCTCTCTCTCTCTCTCTCCTGGAAATGTAAGTGCAAGGCTAGTGTGGTAGCCAGCCTTAAGATGGCCCCAGTGAGCCTCTTCCCCTGGTATTTACACCCTGTGTAGTCCCCTGCTAGCTGACGTCAGGTATGACCTGAGTAACCAACAGAATACAGTGGAAAAACAATGCGACTTCTGAGGTTAGGTCATAAAAGCCATTGCAGCTTCCATCAGGTCTCTGACTGTTCACTCTGGGCAAAGACAGACATCCAAGTCACAAGAATACTCAAGCAGTCCTGTGTAGAGGACTACATGGAAAACTAACCTGTGCATACCAATTTGCCAACAAGGTGAGTGAGACACCCTGGAAGTGAGCACCCCAGGCTATCACACTGCTGACATCTGACTACAACCTCTAAACCACAACCCTGATCCTTTCTGAAGGACCCACAGAGAGATGATAACGGATTACTGTTGTTTTAAACCATTATATTTTGGGGTGATTTGTTATGCAGTAATAGATAACTAATAAAACTAGAATTATGTCTATAAATGTTTGGTAGAACTCAACGGTGAAGCCACTCAAATCTGGAAATTTCCTTGTGGGAAGATTTCGACTACTGATTTATTTAATGGTTATTGTGCTATTTAGGTTTTCTATCTCTTTGATAGAAACATCTTTACTTTTGAAGAATTTATCCATCTTATCTGACAAATTCAATATCCTCTTTGCTTTTTAATGTCTGTAGTGTCTATGTATAGTTAAGCCTTTTTCATTATTACTACCATTTTTGTCTTAATCTTATCAAGAGATCTGTCCATTTTAATTGTCTTTTCAAGAACTTTTGCCGAAACCGGTTTGGCTCAGTGGACAGAGCGTCGGCCTGCGGACTGAAAGGTCCCGGGTTCGATTCCGGTCAAGGGCATGTGCCTGGGTTGCGGGCACATCCCCACTGGGGGATGTGTAGGAGGCGGCTGATCGATGTATCTCTCTCATCGATGTTTCTGGCTCTCTGTCCCTCTCCCTTCCTCTCTGTAAAAAATCAATAGAATATATTTAAAAAAAAAAAAAAAAAAAGAACTTTTAGCTTTATTGATTCTATCTTTGCTTTCTATTTCTGTTCTTTATTTTCTTCTTCAACTTTGAGAGAATTTGCTATTTTTTTCCTAACTTCTTGAAATGGACTCAGATAATTTTCAGACTTAATTATTTTATTTAATTAATACTTTAAATATAAACATTTAAAAATATAAATTTCATGCTAATTCCTATTTTGGTGGCATCTCTCAAGCTCTGAATATATTATTTTCATTATCATACTCTAAAATATTTCCTAATTTACATTATCGTTTTTTCCCCTTATAACATGGGTTACTGAGAAGTGTTTCTTAATTACCAAACACAAGAAACTTTCTAGTTATTAATTTCTACCTCAATTACACTGTGATCTGAGAACATTCCCTGTATGATTTTAATCCTTTCAAATTTATGGAGACTTGCTTGAAGAAGCAGTATATGGTTAAATTTTATAAATGGTCTGAGTAAACTTGAAAATTATTAGATGCAGTATTATTTATAACCATTAGGTTTACTGTTAATTAATTATTCACATTTATCTACCTTCTTGGAATTTTGTATTCTAGCAATTAGTGAAAAATCACGGTATTTTAAAAAATATATTTTAATTGATTTCAGAGAGGAAGGGAGAGGGAGAGAGAAATAGAAACATCAATGATGAGAGAGAATCATTGATCGGCTGCCTCCTGCATGCCCCACACTGGGGATCAAGCCCGCAACCTGGGCATGTACCCTGACTGGGAATCAAACGGTGACTTCCTGGTTCACATAGGTCAATGCTCAACCACTGACCCACACAGGCCAGGCTGAAAAATCACAATATTTTAAGCTTGTCTATTTCTCCTTATACCTGTTAATGTCCATATTATAAAGGCCATGGTACTAGTTATATAAAAGTTTAATATTGTTATATCTTCCTGGTGAATTGAAACCTCTATCATTATGAAATGACCTCTTTATTTCTAAAAATAGATTTGACCTAAAACTCTTATCTGATATCAACACAGCTACACCACAAAGATCTGCTTCTGCCAGGCAACTAGGGGCCCTATTAGTTTAGACCACTTTAAACTGAATTCATGGCTTGAGGGTTTTTAGATCTCGAAAATTCTGTAAATTGGGGCTGCATAATCTTTTGAGAGCCACCTAACAGTTTTAAGCCCACAAGGACCTTTTCCTCTTTGTTCAATGCCAAGGCCTGTGGGGATAGGAAGATAGGGTGTGTTTACCTCTAGTTCATCCTTCCTCTACGTAGAGTTAATGGAGAGAAGGGTTTCCTATTACATATTGCATCTCTGGTGAGATTTGATCTTACTTCTATGCCCGGCACTCTGTCAGGCTGTCAAAACCAAAGTTCAAGTTCATGCAATTGAGCAAATGTTCTCAAGGCAAAAGCAATTTCAGACTTCAGCTTACCTCTGAGTTCCCACTTTATTTTCTAACTTGTTGAATCTTTTATGATTTTAAGATTTATATTGAACACCTACATTAAAACTTTGTTTTTAGCAGAAAGATTGATGTGCACAATTTAGCCCATCTTTTACCAGAGATGGAACTGTGCCTTTGCTTATGAAAAAAAATGAATGAATAAGGAAAAGGGTACAAGGTGGCTTTGAAGTCAAATAGACCTGGGTACAAATCCTAGTCATATCATACTTATTTCTATCATTCACTTTCAAATCCACAGCAACTGTCATCATTTAAAAAACAAAACAATAAGACCCCTTATTTCACAAGATTGTTGTGAGAACTACAATAATCTACAAAGAATCTGGCATCTAATAAGCACTCATATTACAGATGCTTTTCTTCCTCTGACTAGAATGGTCTTCTAAGCTTCCAAATCTATTCATCTTTAAAAGTCCAGGTCAAATGTTAATTCCTTTTCCCATCTACTCACTTCCAACATCAAAATTAATAGCTTCCTTACTACCTCCTCTTCACCTTTATTATACTACTTATCACACTGTTCTGTAATTATTGTTTATTGGTTTATCTGCCCCTCTAGAATTGAGTTTCCTAATAGCAGGCTCTGTGTCTTATTAATCTCTGAATCCCTAATGCCTCAATAACTATTTAATAAATTGAAATCAAATCAATTTTCCCCTTTTCATAATTTCTGACAGAATTACAGAGTTCAATGAACTATCTGCTACCTAACTCTTTAAAAAATGGTCTCCTTTTTATTTAAGTTGTTGGCATTTACCTTTGCTGCATGTGTGATCAATACATGCGCAGAAAAGAGTTATATAGTAAGCATGAGGCTTACATGAACTCCCAGATACCTAGCACTGTGCCTGGACCACTGTGGGTGCTCAACGTTACCAAATTATTTCATTACTTTACTCCTTTATACGTGGTTTTTGTACTGTGTTTCTGAACAGCTCAGACTCATTTAACCTTTATTATGAAATATTTGAAGCGATCAGTATGCATAGAAAAATACAGCAAACACCATTGTAGCTATCAGACCTACCTAATACACAGACACAAACCCAAACAGGCAGCCAAAATGGAGAGACAAAAAAAACAAGCCCCAAATGAAAGAACAAGAGAATTCTCCAGAAGACCTAAATGAAAATGACATAAAAAATTCATCAGACATAGAGTTCATAATAATGATGGCAAGGATGTTCATCCATTAGCATTTTGCTTTACTTGCATCAGCTTTTTTTTTCCCTCAAAGAAATAAAGTAGATATGGGTACAGTTGTACAATTACTCAATCCCACTGCTCTCTCCCTCTCAAACACATCCCATTCTCACAGGTAACCACTATTCCAGAATTGGAGCTTATCACTCCCATTGTATTCCCCCTCCCCCTCCCCCTCCCCCTCCCCCTCCCCCTCTTTCTTCTTTTTCTTCTTCTTCTTTTTTATGTTTTTGTTGATTTTAGAAAGAGAGAAAGGGAGAGGGAGACAGAGAAATATTGATTGGTAGCCTCCATACACACCCAGACCAGCAACCGAACCTGCAACCTGGGCATGTGTCCTGACCCAAATGGGTGCACAGGACAATGAGCTGAGCCACACCAGCCAGGGCACCCACTGTATTCTTTATTCACTTATAACATGTTGGGTATTTACTATTATACAAAGTATTATTTTACATGTTACATAAATGGTTTCATACTGTCTATATAATTCTTGCGTTTACTTTTTAATTTATATCTCTAAACTCTATCGTTATAGATATGGGCAGTTCTGTTTCATTTATTTTAGCTCTTGTACAGTGTGCCATTGTATAAACACATCACAATCTATCCATTCTTCTGTTGATAAGAATTAAGATTGTTTTTATTTTATTTATTTATTTTTTGCTGCAATGAACATGCTGTCTCCTTGGGCATGAAAGGAAGAGCGTCTCTAAGGAGCAAAACTTCCAAGGCATAAGATTATGTGCATCTTCAGCTTGACTAGACAGTGCCAAACTGTTCTCCAAACCAGTTGTACCAATTAATACTCCCACACACTGTATAAGAATGTCCCAGCGTTGAACATCTTTGCCTACAGTTGGTAATGTTAGACTTTTCATTTTCCACAACCTAATGTGAGAAATAATGACCTATCATTTTAATTTAAATATCCCTGATTATAAGTGAGGTCAAGTATCTTTCGGTTTTATTGGCCATTCTTGTTTCCTTTCACTCTAAACTGCTTTTATTACCTACGCCTTTTTCTATTGGGTAATATGCCTTTTCCTTATTGATCTGTAGGTAGTTCTTTATATATTCAAGATGCTAAGTCATTTGTCAGTGATATGTGCCACAATATTCAAGTCTGTCTTAAATTTGTCAGTCTTTTTCTTTAAGGTTTATGTTTTCTGTGTCTAGATTAATACATTCATCCCTGTTTCAATACCATACAGTCTTCCATATTTTCTCTTAGTTTTGCTTTATACATTTATGTTATTAACCCAACTAGAATTGACTTCTGTGTATGCAGGCAAGATCTTATTTTATCTTTTTTTGCCATTTGGATGATGACCAATTGTCCCAATACAACTTCCTGAATGGTTCATCCTTTCCCATGTTAATTTGTAAAGCCACACTGTTGTACAGTAAGTTTTCTTATATGGATAAATTTCCAAATAGACTTCTGTTCTACTGCTCTCATCTAAGGCTTAATATCACAATAATAATCTCTTACACTTGAATAGCACACTAGAATTCACAAAGCACTTTCAAATCTAATTTCCAATTCAAATCTCAAAACAATCCTGTAAATGAGGTGTTATTATTCATATTTATTTGGATGGAGAGGCCAAGGCTCACAAAAGTTAAGTGAATTACCCATGGCCACCAGATAGTAAGTGAAAAAGCAAGGACTCAATCTCTTATCTTCAGCTATCACTCTTTCCACCAGACTCTATTGGGTAAGGACAAGAACCATATCTTTCAAACAGCTCCCACACACAACTAAAACAAACAAACAAAAGCCTTGAGAAGTGAACAAATGCTTTGACAACAAAGGTTGCTGACACAAATCTGCCCATTAGGCTTATCTTGAAAATAAAGTCTATTCTTAAAGTAACCCTGTCCTGGCTCCAACAGACTCCTAGCTAGCTTCTTTGCTACAGCTCACCTCAAACACGGACAACGCTGCTATTGAAGGCTTTATTGCACACCATTCCTCCTCTCATCAGTAGTTTCTCATCAGCCACTAACCCTGCAGCTCCAAAGACAGAATAGAAACGTGAGTTTTTTAAGTTGCATTTTTATTTTTTTAAATATATTTTATTGATTTTTTTACAGAAAGGAAGGGAGAGGGATAGTTAGGAACATCGATGAGACAGAAACATCGATCAGCTGCCTCCTGCACACCTCCTGCTGGGGATGTGCCCGCAACCAAGGTACATGCTCTTGACCGGAATCAAACCTGGGACCCTTCAGTCCTCAGGCCAGCGCTCTATCCACTGAGCCAAACCGGTTAGGGCTAAGTTGCATTTTTAAACAAATTGATCTGTCTTTCAAAAAAAAACAAACAACAACAACAACAAAACCCAATGGTTCTCTGTCTCAGAAAGGGAGGGGAGCAAAGCTGATGCCCCCAAATTGGAATTCAACACTGAAATTCACACATAAGCTATGGGACATGAGAGAGCAGAAGGCGACAGAGAGCTGTCTAACAACCAGCACCTAGATTAAGGATAAGAGTAGGTACTCCACAAGTGGTTTTCATTGAACAAATAAATGAGTTGCTTCATCCTGAGCCAGAATCACCGGTTTCACATGCCTACATAGAGCAATGAATTAAGAAATTTAAAAAAAAAAAAAAAAAGCTCTAGCTGGTTTGGCTCAGTGGATAGAGTATTGGCCTGCGAACTGAAAGGTCCCGGGTTCGATTCTGCTCAAGGGCACATGCCTGGGTTTCTGGCTCAATCCTCAGTAGGGAGAGTGCAGGAGGCGGCCAATCCATGATTCTCTGTCATCATTGATGTTTCTATCTCTCTCTTCCTCTCCCTTCCTCTCTGAAATCAATAAAAATATTTTAATAAATAAAATAAAATAAAAAGCAGCCCCTGACATTCAGAAGTTGGCTTGGTTGGCACTCACAGCTAAAGCATGTTATTCTCCTACTGGACATAAACAATCTCACAGAATACCAACCTCAGACAAAGTTATTCTGAAACCTTGATTTTTGTCTGTGTAGGCAGACAAAAATTTGGCCAACATGTCACTCATAAGATACCAGACGCCCTTCCTCTCTGGGCCAAAATATGTGACTGCTACTTCCCTACCAAGTATTGACAGTTTTGTTCTTGTGCTAGTCTCTCTTCCCTATAGGTAAGATTTATTCAGATAACCAATCATTTTATGACAGCCTTTAAAGCGAATCCCACTTCCTTAGACCATCCTTGAATCACCAAAGTCCACAACCTCTAATCAGTTCTTTCTAATACCCTCTTAAAACACCCCATGATTGTATGAGGTATGCCTTCCCTTGCTGAAAAGAGTAATAGCCCCAACTTGTTTAAGCAGTGTGTTCCTGGCAGTCTTTGGCTGGATGGTGTTCACACAGTACAAATCAGAAGATCTAAAAGTCTATGCCTTTCTCTTTCTAGAATTTTCTCCCAATCTCCATTTGACAAGAATTCTTCATCTTATTTCTGGAAGTCATTTCTAACTAAACAAAAGAAAAGTAACAAATTCCTTTAAGACCAGGAACCTGGTTCAATATTCAACTCCAATTTTACCAATAAACATACTCATGCACAAAACTTTTTGAAATACGCTTTCTTCTAGATAATATACCATTAGAAAGCCAAATCTGTCTGACTCATCTTTGTAAATCTGTAGCATCTCACATGTGGTAGAGGATTTATTTTATCAATGGTATGAACATGTTGCTTTTAAACTAATGGTAGCTGAAATGGATGTCTCAGAATTACACACAGGAAATCCCAGAAAAGAAAAGGAAAAAAACTCAATTGGAGAAAAAAAGATTTATTTTTTCCCCAAAAAATTTAAAAAAAAGATTTCTCTCTCCAAAATAAAATTCTATTTTTTTCCACCTTTAGATTTCTTTACCTATGTTTCAAACATATACCTTTACATTTTTAAATATAGCAAATGATTGAGGCGTTCATGTTTCTTAACTAAAAGGTTTAAATCTCTTAGAAAATATATAAGCATGATACATTCTTCCATTTGTCCAACTAACTCCCACTTCTTTCCACCACCACTACTTCCTTCCCCTTAAAAACACCTTTTCTGTTTGTAGCTTCAAAAGTATCCCAGAATATTATACCCTTATCACATGATACACATCTAGAGAGGGCAGGGTCTAAGTTTATTTAATTGGTCTACATAACGCTAAAGAGAGAGACTGTTGTAAGAGACTGGACTTTTCTTATTGATTGCTGGAAAAAGTCCTCTCTAGATAGAGGCTTCGATCCCCATCTACAAAAACTTTGTTTTCTTCCTTTTTTAATTAAGACATCATGAAGCAGAGAAGAGCCAGCACAAAACATTCATTCACTCTCTGAGGCCAAAGTATAATTGGACCTGGTTTCACACATTAAACGACACACCATGCAATGTTACAGCCTACTTAAAGGCATTCTGGCCAGTATTGTCTTTTCTCTTTCGATGGGAAAACAGGTTTCTATTCCGATGTAAAGATTAGATTCATCAAGTTCACACTCAGAGAACGCCCACACTTTGCAAGGCAATATGCCAGACAGGCTGACAGATCCAAACATAACCTCAGAGAGCGTTTAAGTGTCAGAGAAGAGGGAGTAAGGATGACCATAGAAAGAACATTCCAGACTGAAATTTCAGTTCCTCAAAGAATGGAATCCTGAACGGTTTGGACAAAAACATGGGGGTACTCGGGTCCAGAAATCTCCAACACTGAGGAGACCTCAGCTTGTTCACACGGGGAGCAAATGAGATCAAACCTAAGTGCTCAATGCAACTTAAGATCATTTTTAAGTTCTCTATGCAACTCGGCAAACCTGAGCTCACAGCCTTCAGAAGAAAGGATAAAAATCATTTCTTCGAGGTCTTCTGGACTTTCAAGTTAACAAGCGTGATCTCCATCCCTGAACGGTTGGGGGGTGGGTGTGGCCCCTCTGAGACAGCGGATGGCCTCCTGAAGGTCCGAAGGGACCGGCTGGACCTCGCAGGCCAGCTCCGGACGTCCAGCCACGGCCCATCGAGCCACTGTCCCGCTGCGCCCTTCACCCAACGAGCTCATCCCACGCCTCCAACGGCCCCAGCAAACCCAAACCCTAACGGCCAGGCCTCCAGGGCCGGGCTCGGGCTCCATCAGGCCGAAGACTACGAACAAAGAGGAGGCCGGGGTCAGCCTCCGAGGCCGCCGCGAGACTCGCGCAGCCCCCGAGGGTACCTACACCGCTCGGGGGTCGTGACCCGGACCCGCGGGTTTTCCCCGACGAGGGCCAACTCCTCCCCGGGGCTGGACGCCGTGAGTGCACCGCGTCCCGGATCCCGCTGGTGCACTGCAGCCTCTCCTGCGCGCCCGGTAACAAAGGGGCAGGGGGTCCGGGTGGGTCTCGGCGAGTCCTCTGAGCCCCGGAGCCCCGGCTCTGCGCGCGTCCCGCCGCCCGCACCCGGCCTTTACCTGCACGTCACTCAGCTCCACGCGCAAGTACAGCTCGCGGTGCCGCTGAGCCCAGTAGACGTGCGGCGTCAGCACCTGGTTCTCCATGGCCGCACAGCCCGGGCGCGGGGGATCCGCTCGGGGGCCTCGCTGCCTCGGGCAGTGCGCGGCTGCAGCCGGTGATCGCAGGCCCAAACCCCCGCGCTCCCGAGGGCCCGCAGCCCGCAGCCTCGAGACGCCCCGCGCGCTCCGCCCGCACTTGCGCAGTGAAGAGCCGGAGCGGCGGCGCGGGCTCCGGGGCTCAGCGCCCGCCGGGTGAGGGCGGGGCGGGGCGGGGCGGGGCGGGGCGATGGCGGGAAGGGGCGGGCCCAGGAGCGCCGGACGCCCAGGCTGGCTGCGGCCGCCTCGGGAGTTGCGCTCAGCAGGTGGAACGGGCTTTTCTCTTCTTTAGGGCGATGCTTATAAGTAAGCTTAAGCCCTAGCCGGTTTGGCTCAATGGATAGCGCGTCGGCCTGTGGACTGAAGGATTCCGGGTTGGGTTCCGGGTTCGATTCCGGTAAAGGGCACATGCTGGAGTTGCCGGCTCCATCCCCAGTGTGAGGTGTGCAGGAGGCAGCCGATCAATGATTCTCTCTCATCGTTGATGTCTCTCTCTCTCCCTCTCTCTTCCTCTTTCTGAAATCAATAAAAACATTTAAATAAATAAGCTTAAAATAAAAAACGCTGGTCAGGACTTGTCCCTCCCATTCTGTCGCTCATTAATTAAACATTAACTGGACGCCCACCTAGGCTGCAAAGAGCCACAGCAGTAAGAAACAGCCCCTAACGACCTGCAACCCTCAGCCTCTGAGACACAAGCAATTACAGACACAATAAGGATGATGGTGGTTACAAGGGAGGCGGTGTGGGATCAGGGTGGACGCGTGTTCTCGGAGGGGAGCGTTAGTGTAAAGGATAGAGGTTTACAGCGCTGATGGATATATTTCATTCTGAGCTGCCCAATGACGGTAGCCACATGAAGCTTTTGCCTACTTGAAATGTGACTAGTGGGAATGAGAAACCGAATGTTTTATTTTATATATCCTAATTAATTTAAATATCCACATGTTAGTACTATACTATTGGATAGAGCAGACTTGCCTCTCGTAAAATAGGAAACCCAAACTAGCAAAACCACTAATTTATGTCTAATTTAAGCTAGCTCATCTGTATCCACTTTCATCTCTAAGTCTGCCACCGTGAGAAAGCAACATTACTATGAAAACCAGAAGTCTGGGACAAAAATGGCTTATACTTCAGTTCTATTAGCACTCATTGACTTACCAAAGTGCTGAGCACAGGGATATAGACATGAAATGATGCCAGCTCTCAGGAAACATTTAGCTCAGGGGGTGGAATGTATAAAATATCGAGGGTTTTAATGTGGGGAATGTGCTGTGTTCACAAAGAGGCAGGAAGAAGGTAGGAACTGAGGGCTGTAGAAACTATGGCAGCCTTTCCAGAGGGAATCCTTGAGAGCTGGACAATGAAATGTGAGTTTGATAAAGGAAGAAGCAGAGGTAGGGCAGTGGAAGCACAGAGCAGGAGTCCAAAGGTGAAGGGATGTGGAAAGTCTGGCTGCTGGGGGTTAAGGACCTGGAGAAGAGATCTGGAAACCCAGGTAGAGAGTGGATTGGGAAAGTCTTTATTTGCTTCAGTGAGGTGTTTGTTCTGTATCCCACA